GATAGTGTTTTTACATTAACATAGATGTATTTTACATTACATTAAATCTACTTCATACCCACGAAATCGAAAAATAAGCATAATCAAATTTCACATGGGGAGTGAAATATGGACCATCAGATTGAAAAAATAGTTGGTGACTTCACTTAGTGTTTTTTTTTTTTTTGAAACAATCTTCTATTCATGTTGAACACAAATAAATTATCGAAATAAAATTTTCAAAACTAATTCCAGACACAAAATTTCTGAATTTTCCGAGACACCCAAAGAAAAGGACAAATAACAGATTTTTAAATCTATCCAAATATTTCTGAAAATCCTGAAATTTGAAAATGAATTCTTAAATATTGAATTTATTTCTTCATTTCTTATATCCCACATTTTCCAGTAATCGAACATTCCCCAAAAAAATGCAAAGAGAACAAAAAAACAATTTTTTTTTTCGACAAAAAAAAAAAATCATAGATGGAGGAATTATAGAGAAAACCCAAACCTAGAAAAAATATCAAGAAGAAAAATATCTCCAAAAAATGTCGAAAATGGGATTTCTCTCACAAATTCTCGTAGTGGACATGAGATATTTCTTTCAATTTTTTGGAAATAGTTTGAGAGTGTGTTTGGTAGAGATTAAAATCGGATTAAAATTGAAAAATTAGCTGTTATTGTTGACTTTTATTGGACGGGTTGGACCCAATAACGACTATATTTTCAATTTTAATTGGATTTTTAGTGTTACCAAACAAGCCCTGAATGTTGTTGTTGAGTTAGGTTTAGAAAGTGGAGAGAATGGGTGTGGTTTAGGTGGGTTCGATGTGATGTTTGTATATTATTTTGTACATTTTTTTTTATTTAATCACATCAAACATTAATTACACATATATAAGGGATTTAAATTATCTACAGGGAAAAAAAAAAAGTCTAAAATTGATGTTTTTGAAAAGATTATTAAAAGTGACATTTTTTAAAATAAAAACCAAAAAGTGACATGTGCAATTTCCTCTATATCTATTGTACTTTGAATATTGACTTTCTTAATCACCATGCACTTATAATAATTTATTCTAGGTGGGCAATTTAGGTACAGCATAGCCATCCACCCAATTTGCCATATGGACATGGTCCAGTCAAAGTTTTACAGTAATCCAGTCTAACATCCTAAAGAGTTAAGAGAAGTGCTTTGTTTTTTCACTTGCATTTCTAGGTGCAAACATAAGAAGGTAACTATTAGTTTGTGAAGTTACTAGTTAGGTTTTATTATTTTTAATTTTTACTCTTAGTATTAAAAGAAAGTGAAAACATTTCTTTGAATTGTCCCTGAAATGTCGTAAAATTATGATACTTCGACGTGATTCATATTATGTTATAACATATAATTATGTGCTATTTAGGGGTGTTAAGTGACATGAATCGCTCGCCAACCTATAATTTTAAGTAAAAAAATGAAAATAAAAATTTAGCCCCTGTTTGGGCTCTGTCTATTTCAAAATGCATTTCCCTCTCTCTTCTTTTCAATCACATATTTTCCAATAGAAAATATTAAACGTAAATCAAAAAATTTTCATTCTTCTTTAACCACACATTCTTTAAAAAAGTTTAATTTATGTATAAATGATTATAGATCGAACTGTTGAATCAAAAAAAAAATGAGTGCTATCATATAACTTTGCATCGGTAAAGATCATAAGTTGGAGATAAGCAGATTCAAATCATTGACATCTGCCGCGGGGTAAACTTTAAACTACTGTCTCGCATGTTACCCAATTGACTCTACAATAAAGGTCGACGATAGATAATAACCCTCGTCCAAACACAGCATACAACTTTTAGCATACCGTGCCCTACAAAGAGCAACTTTCTCGAAATCTCAAAA